CTGGATGGGATGTCCTTGAAGTCCACAGCCCGTAGCATCGCTCCGGGGTCAACCCCTCCCAGTATGGCCATCGCCTTCTTGTACATACCCGCAGACCTTTCATCGTCGCACGCGACGATCTTGACGTTGCCTTGGAACCAACCTGCGTCCCGGCATATCGGAGGTGGTCCGGGGTGCTCCCGAAGCACGCTAACGCAGATGTTCGCCAATTCCGCTTTAACCCATTTCCAATGAGCTCTCAGNTTTTGACTACCTCAGCAAAGGTGGGGCCTTGCGTCCTGGCTCTCTTCGACTTGTTTTGCGCAACCTCCATCGATCTATTGCGCTTTTCCGCAGCGAGGATTTTCGCCGGCCACTTAAGGTGGCCGGTTACTTAAGGTCCTATCAAAAACACCTCGTAAACTATATCCAAAAGCCTGAAGGTGACTGGACTTCCTCTTGCAGTGAAACGCTAGACGATCTCATGAGCACGCACTTCCCGGGGTACACTGTAGAGCCTAAGGCAGATGCACCAAGTCAAATGACTTATTTCGACAACACTCTCGTAAAGACTATCGTGCAACAAAAAAGTTAGAATGGGCTATTGAGACTTTTAAAACTTAAAAATCTTCAGGACCGGTTTGTATTCCCCTCCGAAATTCAGATAGCGCTCGACGTTTTATGCCCGCTGCTTACTTATATTTTCAAGGCAAATTCTAGAAATACTTCTCGACGCCCATATCCGAAAGCGCCTTTTGTTGGCAAATCCGTTGACACTACGTTGCGTGAAATTGTGCCCAAAAATCGTTAAGGGACTTGACTTTAAAGAATTTAATTTAGGAATCTTTCTTAACACAGTTTGCTTCTTCTTCTTATTTGGCGCTGTAACCGCCCAGGTGATTATGGCCGAGTTCAAGAAAGCACGCGAATCGTTTCTCTTCTGCCAATTGGAAATGCCAAATAAAGCCAAGTCCTTCTCCACTTCGTTTTTCCATTGCAGTGCGCCCTCTTCCCTAATTGGTTCTAGATCGCAAGGAAGGCCTCAAGCCCTGTAGCCGACGAGGCGGCTGCAGTTCTGGCCACCCGGTCCGCTCCATCGTTGCCAAAAACTTCTATGTAGGTCACATACCCAAGTTAGCTGGATATCATTGTGCTTCGCCACGATGTTGAGCCTAACAATGAACTCAAGAAGGAGGACTTGACCCCAAATGAAATCGTGCGCCCCATTGACCAAGAATGCAACGACAGGTACCCCTAAAGGAGGAGTTCTCTCTCCCTTCCCTTACGGTAAATTTAATTCTCCTTGAGACTGAAGAATACCAGTTACCAGGTGATAGCTTATGCTGAAGACATTGTACTAACAGTAATGAGCAAGCGGCTCCAAACCCCTAGCAAACTATTGCAGAGCACTCTCCGTCTTAAGAATAGCTGGACGAGGCAGAGTGGACTCATTGTTAATTCCACCAAGACCAAAATGGAGTGGGGAGCGCTATCTCTGCCACTGCCCCGCTCTGACAAGGTCACGATTTATTATTTTTAGTAAATATATCTTTCGGTGCTTACTTAGCTGATAGAGAATCCGTGGGCATCCGCAACTTTCCACGCTATATGTAACTAAAACGATGGTTCTTTCAAATGCGAAAGTGAGGGAAGGAAACATGAACTCGTAGCATCGCAATCGAAGTGTGCCTCTCTGCCGAACTGTGTGGAGTGCCAATCAACGTAACCTAACATAACCTAACCGCCAAAGACGAATTGGTACGAAAAACCCGAGAAATGGACTTAAAGTTACATAAATAGATGTCTATTGTGCTCTCAACTATTCATAAAACCTCATATAATCCTAGAGAACCCAGAAATTTGATGAGATCTCTAAGGGTTAGCGATTGTACAATTTCTTCACTTGGCCAGAGTTCGCCTAGGTACCTCTCCCGCGCAAAAGAGTATCCTCAGTCACCTCGCAAAAATGACATAGGTCATTCGGACAGATGCCTAGCATGCGCCGGTGACCTCTTCTTAGTCTGCAGTGACTCTTCAGAAAAGCTGTTATTATTCTTTTATGTTATTATATATTTCCTTGTCCCTTGTAAGGTTGTAGGTTCCCATAGGCATTTAGCCTGGCGTAGACCTGCGGTGTTACGCCAGTGTTGACTTCTTAACCTGTTCCTCTCCTTCCTGAGCTCTTCCTTGATTGGTTCTAGATCCGATCGCAAGGAAGGCCTCAAGCCCTGTAGCCGACGAGGCGGCTGCAGTTCTGGCCACCCGGTCCGCTCCATCGTTGCCAATAACTTCTATGTAGGTCACATGCCCAAGTTAGATGGATATCATTGTGCTGCGCCACGATGTTGAGCCTAACAATGAACTCAAGAGCCAAGGAGGACTTGACCCCAAATGATTAGAGGGCTTTAAGAACCGCGTAGGTTAATATCTGCATACAGACTAATAGCATATGCTCCCATGGGTACCGAGAGCTTTAGCCTTGGTCCGAAGATGCCTGCCCCAATGCCGTAGGGAGTTTTGGAGCCGTCCAAGGTGCTCAAAGTTGCCTTTCTGCAAATGTCTATTTGGAATTTCCTCTCAAAGTCAACTGACTTGGGCCTGTCATCTCTGGCAATCAAAGGTAATGGAATTTGGGAGCCTATCTTGTCTCTGATCCTCGATGATAGGGCTTTTACACTGTCAGAGCCTTCAATCTTTTCAAACTGAGAGATGGCAGATTGCCTAGAGTAGTTTATTAAAACTAAATATGGGTTAGACAGTCTGGAGCGGTAACCTGATAAAAACCATGATAAAAAGGGAAATCTAGACACGAATAATCTTTTCTACAATTCTTTGTTATATTTGAATGGGCGAAAGTGATATAAGCTTATTTAGAAGCAACTATTGTATGTATACAATTTGTAGATATCCAACCTGTTCTATAATTTATCACGATTTCTAAACTTGTAGCAGAACTCATTAGAACACCCATTAAAGAGATTATCTATGCTTAAGCCGCACCCACACTGCCAAATCAATGAAACTAATAACCAGTCTAATGATTGTCTTGCTGCACCAGCACTAATCGACGCAATAGCTAGTAAATAGTTACTGGTATATTACGAGTAATTGGTAAGCTAAACTGAATTGCTACAAACTATCAGCAACAACAACAACAATAGGGATCAGTTTACCAATCAATCGTTTATTACAACAATAGGCAGTGATTAGAAGTAAGTAGAATTCGTGTACATTCAGTGTCATTAAAACTCGCTTTTTTGAGCTGTTATAAAGGTTGTTAAGCGAGTATATATTTAGACAGCAGCAGATATAGTTGCTAAGGTACTGTGGTAAAAAAGAAAAACAAGAAATTATGTAAAGTTTGCGAATTTGAGAATTGTATGTTGTGTGAGAANAAAATAAGAAATTATGTAAAGTTTGCGAATTTGAGAATTGTATGTTGTGTGAGAAAAACGAATCGGCATTAACTACCTAAGCACATTTATAAGTAAAGCTAGTAACTCTAAGTGGCGGCGGTCGCCTATTTGAAAAGAGGTTAAGAGCAGCACCAGCGGTTAAGACTTGCGGCTAACACACACTCAGTCAGTTAGTCAGTCAGTCATTCACTACTCACGTCAACTGACTACAGACAGCTTCTGCAGTTGCAGTTCTATATAACGGCTGTATGTACATATGTAGTAGTAGAGTGCAGTTAAAATGAGCAAAAAAGCGTTTGGCTGCTGGCTGCCGATCTTTTGAATTGCAGATCGCTTGCACAATTGATCGTTTGGTTTGCTATTTGCAGTTGGGGGCATTTACTTAAATTTTTTTTCGCTATCCATTGCCCTGTTAGAGTCTATTGGCAGCGCCGGTGATGCCGCCGCCTGTAGTGCAAATTGTTGCAGCTGCGTGCTGTGCAATTTGAAATCGATCTCCTTCACTCTCGATCGTTTCACAGATGCAGCAGCAATTCATTGCGCNCAGCAAATTGTTGCAGCTGCGTGCTGTGCAATTTGAAATCAATCTCCTTCACTCTCGATCGTTTCACAGATGCAGCAGCAATTCATTGCGCATGTAAGTTTTTTATTCTCATTCCCCTTTTTTTTTTCTTGTACGTATTTTTTTTCAAGCTGCAAGTAGCCATCAAGTCTTGTTAGTTAGATATTTTTTTTTATTGAATTTGCATGTCGTAAATTTGCATAAACACGGTGCGATTTATCAATTGGCTTTGTTCCATCTATTTTGTTGTTTTATTGCATTTGCAATATTGCAATTCTTGCTGTCATGTTATTTGTTTAACATTTACCGAACAATGTCTATGGTGGAGTGTTTTGCTTTTAGTTGTTGACTTTTTGTTCTTTAATAAGAACTCCACTTGTCCGAGGTTTCGCCCAGGGATTTCAGAAATATTTTCTAGATATTGGAGTTGCCATGCTTCGAGATTTCATGTGAAGCGATTACAATTACCAACATCATCAATTACTATCATTGCCATTATCAATACGATCAGCATTACCACTACCATTTCGATTCCAATTACTATTACCATTACCAGTAGCACTATCATTACTACTACCATCATTATTAGGACTAGCGCAATTATAATTACCATTCCCAATACGACTTCTATTACCATTACCATTACTATTACTATTACCATTATCATTACCATTAGCATTACGATTACAATTACTATTACTATCACCTGTAGCGTTATGATTGCCACTGCCATCATTACCTTTACCACTATTAGTACCAGTGCAATTATAATTACCATTCTCATTAACATTATCATTCTCATAACCATTACAATTTTCATTACGATTACCATTAAGATTGTCATTACCATCACTATCACCACTACTAAGTATTGTACCTGAATATTCTATTAATGTTAAGGTGGTTGACCCAAGCAGGTGCACACTTGGATCAGTACTATCGGTACTTGTGACCGCTTTAAGACAGTTAACTGCTAAGCTTCAGATGCCAATCCGGAAGAGCTGGCCAAGATTAGTTAAGAAGTAAGTTCCAAGATGTCTACACCGCAGCCTTTTAAAAGTTGAGCAGATTAAGAGAAAGTGATGAGATGACTCCACCTCATCATCCTCTAGGCATAGCCATTGTAACTGATAGTAGCAGCTTTGGGAGACCAAGATGAACTCATAACCGTCTGCGCTACGGCTTTGGCCAAAAATACCGAGGCCTTATTTTCTTCAAGTGCCGTTGGCCAGTAAACAAAAGTACCCCTGCTGTCCTCTTCTCTCGATGAGGCCGAGACTCGCCATTTGCAGCGTAATTTCCTTCAATATCTTTATGGCTTGGCACCTTGATAAATCTGACTAGGAAATGGTCAAACGCGAAAGAAAGGGAAGTAAGCCAGCTTAGAGTCCACCTTAAGTGAGCACAATGCCCTCATTGTCGCTCGGCAGCAAAGTATATGTATATTGATCTTTCTCTTCCGCCGACGTCGCGCAATTTAGCCACCAATAGACTTCTTCTTTAATGACAGTTTCGTTTGCCTGGAGACCGCTATAGTGACCTTGAATCCTAAATTGGTAATCCATAGCGAGCTCAGTGCAAAATGCTCCTCCACGAACTCTTACATCAAGCTTCGACCCATTCGTGTGGAAGTTCAGCGGAGCCGCCTGCTAACTGCTACTCCCCGTTATTTTTGCCAGTGTCCAAGAAAAACCTAACCTAAATCTGATCCAGCCCTAGCTGCAGCAGTCGTACCTACGACATCGAAGGGTGCTATGCTCTTAGCTTGGCGTTAAGGGCAGCGGGATGTGGTCCTAAGTGCGTCAGTTATTCAACCAGAGTGCAGACAGGTCCTTTTGCATTTGGTTCTTCCGTTTTTCGTTTTTTCACCTAACTTTTGACGAAACATTCGTTTAAGCGTTCCGTCAACTTTTGCGCCCATATTTAAGCTGCGTGTTCGATGGCGATGAGGTATTTATGGCTATAAGCTATTTAATCGTGATCAGATAAACACTAGAAAATGTTTCGTATCATTCATCTACTCTTCATACCGCTTCGAATCTCTTTCATTTACTATTTTTTTATTATATTTGTCTATTCTTCTCTCTCTCTCTTTACATTAGATGTTGACTGCAATAGCAATGCTCAAGGCTATGACACAGGTATCGGCGGCTCTACATCGACAATTGTTAGCCCTCTAGGTTCGCCACAGCCGCAACTGAGATCACAAGTGCAACAGCAACATCATCAGCAACAACAGCAGCTACTACAGCTACAACAGCAACAGCAGCAGCGTACAAATGCTGCCGCACTGGCGCGTTATATGCAGGTGAGTTCGAACAACAAAAACAAATACATACACAAAAAACAAATTTCAAATGTGCCGGTACTGTATACTAAGCCTAGTTGGGCATGTTAAATTGCACATTTTTGTTCGTGTTTTGGCTGAGTTATTAGTTAAAATAAGTGTGAAATCCATTTCAGCGGGTTTCAGTCAACTGGGAGCTACTGTACTTCCAATCCATCTTCAACTCGCTAATCCACTCACTCGGCGGAGCAATAGAAATGCTCGTTACACAAATTGTTATGCGCGATAGTGTTAAGTGTTTACCTCATTTGGCGTGTGATCGAGTACCGACCAAATAATTGTGGTATGTACAGGGTGGTTCATATAGTGGTTTCTTTTTTAGAATTAAAAAAAAAACATTTTTTTCGGTCGTTAACCCAGTTTTCCAAGACCTTGGTGGCTCTACCTGCATATTAGCCCTAAGGGCCTGAATCGTTAATGGATTGTTCGCTTAACATTGGTCCTTCACAACACCACACAAACAAGTCTACCGGCGTCAAATCGCAGTTCCGAGGTGCCAATTGGCATCGCCGAGGCGGCAGAAAAAACGATTATCGAACTTGGCGCGCAAAAAATCGATTGTGGTCAGGGCTGCATCTAACGTGATGTCTTCTTTATAGGCAAAAAAAAAATTTATCATGCCTCTGTAGCGATCATCGTTGACCGAAATCGTTCACGCACCAAACTGTCACTTCTCAACGATCATGTGCGGGTTTTTCGATCCCCAGATGAAAAAGTTTTGCTTGTTACAGCTTCGTCAGAAGAGAAGAGCATCCTCTTAACTGCAATATTTCCCAATATTGTTCAAGTGTAAATCGATTAATATCGTTCCGCAGAGATACTCGTATGATATTGACTTTCTGTAAAGATTTCCAGCAGAAAAAGGCTGCCACTGTTAAAATAACATATGAAAAAAGAAAACACAATATGGACCACCCTTTATGTACTTAGTAGGTATTCGCCAACTAACCCTGCTGCGTCAAGTGAGTGCCAAGCGACTCTATCATTGACTGCGACCGCTGAGAAGAAGTTTGAAGTTTTAGAGTACTCGATTTGACTTTGCCGCCTATGGGCAATTCAATCTGCAGTTATTTGCATTTCTTTGTGCATGATTGCCGGCTATTCAGGCAGTTAGTCAGTCAATCACTTGTGTGTGTGTGTTTTTTTTTTTGTTGATCATAAGCATCTTACATTGAAAATTGTTCGATTACTTACACAATTGTTTGATCGGCAGTTCGATCTCTCTTTCGATCTTTGATCTTCCACCTACATACATATATACATACATATATTTCACTTTTCATCGCCACTTGATTGGCATTGGATCCGTATTTTTTTGCTTCACATTACTTATATATGTGCGTGTCTGTCCCTTCTTCTTTTTCTTCTTCTTTATAAATATTTGTTATTTAATCAGTTTTAACTTTCTTCTTATTTGACGGTTTTCTTTTTATTTAATTTTATTTCTGCCATCCGTACACTTGAATGGTTTCTTGCCGTATTCTATATACTTCTGCATATTCTGGTAAACATATTTATGTTCATACATACATATGTATGTATGCAAGTCCCTTCATGTGCACCTCTGTCGCAAAGGTTAATTTTTAAATCGGCATAAGCAAGCCTTTTTTATGTTCACAAAAAAACTTTTAATTCTCGTTTTCTATGACTCAAAATTTGGTACTCGCCTGTGCGGTGTTTGTTTCTTTTTTTTTGCAAAAACTCAGTTAAATGTCAAATTGATATTTTAATACCAAACGCGAAACATGAGACATACATTTTTCATTCACCTGATCAATGAGTTGTGAATGACATAAAATAAGTTACAAAAGGGTGACATAGAGTAGCCAGATCTGGCACCTTCCTATTTTTTTCTCTTTGGGATTCTTATGAAAAATTAGTTGTCTAAGGAGAGCAGAAGAGTGGTAAATATAATCTATTTGTCGTAGATTATCGTGCAGAGTTTCCTTTGCGTGCCCGAATCTGAGGTCTCTCCACGGCTGGATGGCATTTAGACTGGCATCATTATAGCCGGCTAGGAATTTGCTATAGAGACCCATCGGTGGGAGATTTTACATTTCTTCCAGAAATTTGGTGGATATAGTGCGCCCGTAGCAAGTAGGGACGCGGTGCTGTGTACCCGTTCCAACTTGGCCCTGTAAAGGAGGATGGGTATTATCCCAGCAGTTACATCCAGTGTTTTTATTCGCCATTATGTTCAACACTCTCCACTTTATCCTCCCTCTACATATTTGTCTTTTGCCGAGAGCTTTTCATCAGCGAAAAGTTCAGGCTACCGGACTCCTGCAGTATATTTCAGGCGAAAGTCACTGATTTCAAGGAGGCGATGCAGTCACTATTCAGGATTGCAATGGCAGTTAGTGAGGTGAGAATTTATTGGCTATGAGAGCCCTAAGTTGGAGGTGGGCTTTAATTTGGTGAATGAATGTCTGATCTGTGTTCTCACTAGATAAGGAGCGACGGAGCGAGCCATTGATCAAATGTATACTCTCGGATAGATAGGACTCGTGTCAGATCAGTGATAACTGGGCGAAAACCATTACATCCTTCTGGGCGATCGAGGGCATCCTCGCATTTACAAAGCCGCAGCTCTGACTCTTGGGGATGGCTTTAACGGCTCACTGTCCAATGGGTATTCACGCAGTAAGGTTGAACATATAATCTAATCTAGTATGTCAGAGTTGTATTGAAGATGGCTCGGTGGCAACATCTGAATCTTTAGAGGCAAAGCCTATCCACTTATCGTATAAACATAGAAGAACTTAATAATGATACCAATTCCTTCGCTGTTCAAACCCTTCCCTTCAGTCATATAAGCGATTTGAGTATTTTTTACAAATTTATCTTATTATCGGATTCCCTATTTTTTCTCGCACCTCGATATTTACATAAGAGTAGAGGCATAATTACCAGTAGTAGATCGATGTCATTCTTAGTTGGTTCGTCTGCGTGATTTTTCCCAAAATCTCTCTGTAACCAGAAATCCAAGTTACACTCATTTTAAATTGCCAAGTAAAGAAAGGAAACAAATCCTTGAACGTACTTTTTTCATATTACCGATAAACGTTAGTAGTCTGGCAACTACGTTTCAACTTACTCATCAAAGACACACACACATACACCTTCTTTTCAAGTCGACATCACGACTTTTAAAGCGCTTACAATCGACTTACACGCATAAGCCTGCAAAGCATGAATATCAAATGACAATTCTACCAACAAAAAAAAAAAACCCTGCACATACCAAGCCACTATAATTCTTAACCCCCGACTTTAAACGCTTTTTCAAAGTTCGTAACATTTGTGGTACGTTTTTTATGGCTTGGATGCGTCGAACTGTCGCAGACTGCTTCGTCGACAGCAGCTACCTAAAAATGGTGGACAAAATTTGTGTACCAAAAGTAATATGAGGCGCGGCTGCAAAACAAATCGTCTTTTTTTTTCAAAGTGCTAAAGTTACTGCGCAGGCAGCTACTTGAGCGCAATTGACAGCCTTTAAGTTTGCGTTTGAATTCCTCGATGCTTTACGATTTTTGTATGCCTCGTTTAAATTTCGCAGCTCAGGAAATTAGGTCAGAAGTTTGTTTGGTGGCTGGCTGGGAAGAGAACACTTAAGCAAATTACTACTCGAGTTTTTTTTGCACTTCGTATGCTTCATTTGCGTTTGGTGCTGCAACTTCACGGTATGCGGTATGTTGCGAATTATTGCTGCCACTCAAGAGGAACTTCCACTTAGTTTGTTTATAGTTTTATTTTTTTTTTAACTTTTTGTAGCTATGTACTTTTTTCACACATTTTGTTAAATAAAACACGCCAACAAATACAAACTATTGGACTTGATTGCTTTGTTGCTACTTTAGAATGCATAAACACACGCCTCGGCGCGTCAGTTGGTCAGCGCTTGCGCGCTTTACTTTTCCTGCGCCTTTTGCATTTGACACGTGACATGGGATTTCACTTTATACGTCAGCGCATATCATTTTTCCTGCGCGTGTACGGTAAACGCATTGCAAACGCATGCAGCGAATGAACATGCTTGTGGCAGGCTTAGCTGGCCTGCACTGCTATGCAGCCATATAGCGCCAGAGGCAAGCGTTACTCCAAACACTCAATTCACGCGGGTTGACTGGCAGCCGCAGAAGAAGAAAAATCGGGGGCACATGTCAATTTGGCGCATCCGCACAGTCAGCAAGCGAGGACGCGCAGCTACCACTAAGCAAACACCGAAGTCTGCAACCAAGACAACTCCAAGAAAAAAATGCGCTTACGCCCAGCTATGGTCGAGTACACCATCACAAATGGAGTCCCGGGTGGTCGCTGCCGCTGATTGACTTGGCCGACAGCCAGTAACTTGCTACATGCCTTCAAACATGCGTCGCGCTGTCCGGTTCGCCCAAACCCCCGCCCCCCGCCTTCCAACCATTCCAGCCAGTTAACTCAGCCACTTGCCAACATAGAAGCAGATAGAAGTTGTAAGCACTATTTGTCGTTTATGTCTGCGGGTGCGCGTGCGCAGTTATGCGCGCATTGCACGTAAATTGATTTTTAATTGTCGCCATATTTTCATTAATTCACAGCCATAAAGTCCATAAGCGTTTTGTGNTCAGATAGAAGTTGTAAGCACTATTTGTCGTTTATGTCTGCGGGTGCGCGTGCGCAGTTATGCGCGCATTGCACGTAAATTGATTTTTAATTATCGCCATATTTTCATTAATTCACAGCCATAAAGTCCATAAGCGTTTTGTGGCGCACCATTAGCCATACATTATATGCACTTTTACCAACAAACCCACCTTTTCTCACTACATTTTTTGCTATTTTATTGTTGTTGTTGTTGTTGCACACAAGTACCTGTATTTTGCTCGATTTTATGGGTGACTGCTATGACAATTTAGTGTTGTTGACTGTCATTGTTCGCGCTGCTGCTGCTGCTTCTTTTGCGCATGCGCATCTTTTATTCA